GTACCACCTCCTTAGTTTAATTAGTTTAATTTTCATGTCATTAGCATAGTTGTAGTGTAATTACTTTAATTTCATAGATAGGTAGATAATCCATTCTTATTGTTTGATGTTCCATACTTATGAGTATAAATAGTACAATTCTCTAAACTTTTGTGCATGCATTAATTATGGTTTAATTGAATGGTTAATGGTCTTATTTGATAGGTTGTGCTACTCACTAGATTAATTAGACAATCTATGCTTATTTGCCATCCATGCTTAGTTTTCAATTAATGACATACACATAATTTACAATATAAATTTCCCCATTAATTTACAATTAACTCTAAGCCTCAAGACCTTTCTCTCATACTCTTTTCCCTAATTTCTAGATTGTCATTCAATTTGCATTATTTTAATTGAACCATTAGTTTAATTAACCAAACCAAACCCCTATTTGATCATTCGACCTACTAATCTAACATTAATTCCAGAATACCTTGTTTTTCCCTTAGGATGATCCCTACTCACTCTTGCTACGTTAGTAGTTAGTAATGGTAGTGGCATTTTAAAATTTTAAACTTGGCCACATTTTATCACAATTCAAACTTTGGTTGAAGGCCACACACACCATAGTGTCAAAGCGTGTTCGGTTGAATTGTAATTTTTAGTTTACTTTTGAGTCTTGAGGTCAGAAGTGAAACAACATTTGCAAACTCGCTCTGGTTCAATGAGAAACACATATAAACAAGTAAAAGAGTGAGGACTCACTATGTATGTGCATAACTTAAGGTTATCTTTTAATTGAGAGCTAGGTTTTTTTTGTAAAAACATATGTATTTTTACTCTAAGTAAAAGTACAATCAGTTATGTGTCAAACACAACTAGTTGCATGTTTCTCAAGTTGACTCAGTCAAAACACAAGCGATTGTAATCTAAAACAGAACCGAGTGTGTTTACTCGAACCAAAAAAGAAAGTTATTTTAAAGTGAAATTTGATTACCTTTTTTTATCAAGTTTTAAAAAGCATACAAGCAAGGTGCAAGCGATGTTAGAGATACGCTTGTTTGGTGGCTATCCTAAAGGGACTAAGGTGGATTGTTTTATCATTTTAGGGACATAAAGGATCATATCATGAACAACATACCTAGTTGTAGGATAGTGACAAAGGAGATAATTGGCACACCAATTGTACCATGGGTGAACACACCTGTTTATAGAGGCTGAGAATGATGTGACACTAGAAGTACATCTTGACGCACCGTCATCATCTAATACATAGATTCCTGCACCAGTACTTCATTATAGTGGGAGGACTATTATCCAACCCAACAGATTCATGGTTTTAGGTAATACCTTTGAGGACACCCCTAATAAACATGAGTTGGACCCAGTAAGCTACACGGAAGCGTTAATCAATGTGGATGTAGATCGTATAGCGAATTTCTATGAAATTAGAGTTGGTTGGCAAATGGATATCAAGATGGCATTCTTGAATGGCCATCTGGAAGAGGCCATCTATATAAGACAACCAGATGGGTTCGTAGTGAAAGGCCGAGAGGATTGTGTGTGTAAGTTGCAAAGGTCTATTTATGGACTCAAGTAAACTTCACTCAATTGGAACATACATTTCGATCAAGTGGTTAAACTATTTAGCTTCGAACAAAATGTGGATAAACCATGTGTAAAAGAAAATATAGGGTAATGTCATTGTTTTCCTCATTCTATATGTTGAAGACATCCTAATCATTGGTAATTATGTAGAAGCATTGTCATTAGTAAAAAGGTGGTTGTTCAACCAATTTGGGATAAAAAATCTCGAAGAAACAAGTTATATTCTTGGGATCAAGATTTTGTGAGATTGAATAAAAAGGATAATAGGCTTTTCTCAAGTATCCTGTATCAATAATATATTGACTAGGATTGGTATACAGGACTCAAAGAGATAGTTCTTTCCATTTAAATATGGATTGGCTCTCTCTAATGACCAGTCTACCAAGACTGATGAGGAGATAAAATAGATGAAATGGGTATCACATGCTTCAGTTGTTGGGATTTTCATGTCTGCCATGGTTTGTACCACACCAGATATCTACTATGCAGTAGGTATGGTCAATAGGCTCCAATTGTCCAATCTAGGGTAGGAACATTGGGCAACTGTGAAGAATATTCTAAAGTACCTTGGGGAGAACCAAGACTCTCATGCTCATTTATGGAGGTGGTGATTTGGTTCAAGTCGGGTATATAGACTCTGACTTTCAATCAGATATAGATACAGGAGGTCCAGGTCTAGGTATTTGTTTACGCTCAATGGATGGGCAGTCAATTGGAGGAGTGTAAAGTATAATTCCACTACTAAATCAACCATAGAAGCAGAGTATCTTGTTGGCTCTGAGGTAGCAAAGGAAGCCATTTGGTTAGGGAATTATCTTGTTGTCTTGTAGGTTATAGAGCGTATTAGCTTATCTATGACGCTTTATTGTGACAATAGTGCAATAGTAACCCAAACCAAGGACCCGACGTTCCATAAAGGAACAAGGCAAATTGAGAGAAATATCATTTTGTACATGATATTGTTATCCATGGAGATATATTTGTGGCTAAGATTCCGTCAAAACACGACCTTGGTAATCCATTCACAAAGCATGGGAGTTAAATGTGATTCAAATTGGCTATTCATTTTATTTGACTCTCAAGTATGAGAGAAATATAGACTCTTTTATTTATTAATAATTACTTTGATTTGTTTAGTGATACCTTTGGGATCCTTTGACCGGCTCTTTAGGTAATTAGTTAATTAATAGTTAGAGGGTTCTACTCTCAATATTTGTATCGGTGCTACTTATAATTATTTTGTATTAATTATGATTGATCACAAAGTAAATTTAAAGGCCTCTGTGTGTTTTGGACAAAAATAGTTTTTCTATATATTTATATAAAATTATTATTTTTGTCAAACAAATATTTTATTATAGAGCCAGAAATAATCAACGAACTAAAATTAAATATATTAATTAAGTTGTCGGATTGATGGGTTTAATTATCTAATAGCTAATTATGTATTAAGAGATCAAGTTACAACATTGACTTAGTGTCAATTACTTTCCAATTGGAGTGCAATTAATTTTTGTTTAGTAGAGTAAAGATTAATTTATAAATTAATTAAATTGATCCATAGTTGATGGATCGGGTCAATTTGTAATTCAGTACCGTGCTATAATTAAATCTTTTTTCCAACACAATTCTATTCTGTCATCTTGTTGTCCCCGTCCTTGTATATAATAAGCTAGGTTCCTCTTGTCATGCATTGCAAAGTGTGATCCAAACCCAGCTAAATTTCCCCCCACCCCCAAAAATAATCTTTAAATTTAAGCATATCCAGCTAGTGTTCTTGTTCAGTCTTAAATTTACACAATCCAAGCCTTTTTTGAGCAAGGTTTATTATTATTGTTATTTTTTATTTGAACACGTGTATCGACCCCATAATACACGTACCATTCAAATTAGAAGTGCAATTCAAAAGTGAGATCTCAAGGATTTACATCCTGAATCCCTACTAACGCCGCTAAGCTCGCTAAGCTCCCGTGAACTTAGCAAGATTTATTTTACTGTGATTTATTAAGCAGTCTTGCATTTTGGTTTATGATGATTAACTATTTTTATGTCACTTCATTAAGGAATGATCCTATTTTTATAATGTGCTCTAAGGAACCCTTTGATTAATGTTCCCTTTGTAAGAAAACCATTCAAATAACTGGTATGATCTACCTCAGTAGGTATAATGGGTTATTTGGCATGTATAAATACATGTGTTAAAATATTATACAACTAATGTGAAGAAATGAATCTTTTCTAAAAACAGATATGGTTTTTATTTTCTCCAAATGTCATTTCCAAAAAGATACTTTTGAGTTTCAGTAGCTCCTCCTTCAGTTAAACCACTTATAGCAACATCACTTAATTGGAATAAAATCAAGTTACTATTTAACCAACACTTTGACAAATTTGCCTTCATTCAACCAAGTCTTTTGATATACAATTGTTTTGACATAGCAAAAGCTAGTTTCTCTAACATAATCTTTGAAGCACCAATTATTTCTTCCTCATTTTTTTTTTTCTTTCCATCTGCTTAGTATATTATTTTCTTCAGTACTTCTGCTTCTTTCTTGATTTGATCCTAATTTTTAGGCAAGAAGACTAATCTATTTAAATATCTTTTAGTATATTGCAAGTTACCTCATTAGGAATACTTCCAAAGCAAATCTTTTTTTCCATGCAATTAAATCAAAAAAGCAACGGCACATAATAATATTAAATCGATGCTAGAACACCGCCAAATCCATAATACAACAATGGACCGTGTTGCAATATTGCGTCTCAATGTAATATATTAGCCTTAAGTTTTTGTGTCAGTGTTGCACTAGTATTATGTTCTTTCCAAAGTGATTCCGGAATTGGACCCGATTGAAACCCATAATCAACATACCAACAGACCTACCACTATTCTGAATAAATTTATGTAAATATACAATTATGTCATCATATTTAATGACGCCATGATGATATTATCCCCCACCTACTCACATGAATAGTCGGATGCATCCGACTTTTGGACTAATTATCATTATGTCGGAGAACTCATCTGACTTTTGGACTACTTATCATTATGTCGGAGTACTTATCATTCTCTAGGAATACTTATCATTATTCCTGTACAAATTATTATTCCAGCTTACACCACTTCGAAACATGCAGACTAGTTTTCGATTGCCCATATGTAGCTGGCTTCAAAGCCTGAATTTCATTGCCTCCCAGAGGGATAGACAACTTCAACATTATAAAATATCGTAATTTTATAAATGTAGAAATATAACGGCTTTAAAATTTTATACCTAAGCTCACCTCCAACTTTGACACAGCTTAAGATATTTTTCACCCACAACCAATGTAGCAATACAGATTGTATCAAACCTCTTGACAGTATATGACAGATTTCATGGAACATGAAAACAAAGAGTGGCTACTCCAAGAAGATAAAAATTGAGTTGCTAAGATCTAAGTTGAGTGGGAAATGCATATTCTTCGCATCAAAATGTACTGTTACAACTGTCACAATTTCTCGGACCAAGAACAAAGAAAAGAATAAGTTAAATGAATACAGTCGTTACATTTCTCGGACCAGGAACAGATTGACAATGAACTAGCACAATTTAACCTCAACACAAATTACACATTCTCAATGAAATACAACTGAGAAACAATAGCTTTCTAAAAGAATAGCAGGGTTCACCTTAACATCTTCTCAAATTAATTCCTCTATAGTTGTCTATATAGTTGAACAAGTGATTGTTCTTTTCTGACACTCTGCAAGATAAACTGATGGCGTTCACCCACTTAAACAGCCGTCGAGGCAGTAAGATTCAAGAGAAAAATTCTTGAGAACTGCAACAACAGCCACATGTTGATCTAGGAAATGTATTGCAGGCGTAATTTGATGCAGCTCTAAAGTAAAACTACAAGGAGATCCTTGCAGGATCATCGCATTACAGACTCCTTGACAAAGGAACGGCCACCTGACCTGCAAGAACAACGATCAATACAGGGATAGAACGAATTAGCTGATGATAGGGTGAAATCAGAAGCTCCAAAACATTTAGTTATAAGCTGTGACTTACGCATACTCAAGATGAATATTCATGAATCTAGCATTTTCTTTGCTTTGTGATAATGTTACAGAACCTTCAATAATTTGATCTTGCTCCACTTCTATTGGGTCATAAAAGTATATCAATGTCTGCACAATTGGTAAAACAAATGGACAGAACAAACCGCATCATGAGACAGAATTTAGCCTTGTATGAATACCAGAATTTTTTCAAGAAGTGGAACCCACTAGAGAACAGGCATTTTTCACAAATGGTAAATGATACTGACAATGCAAATGGATCATACATGATCAGTCAATAAAAAGAACACTCGTACCACTTTTTTGCTCATGTGTGCATATGAGAAACCATTTCCTGTACCAAAATGGTGGTTTTACAGTTTAATTCATGATAACATACTTTGTCACTTGTCAGACACCTAGTGCCGGTACCAAAAGCCAAAAATTGACTGGTCAGGAACACTTTTAAACTTCTTAAGGTTACTAATTCTTAAGAATGATCAATGAAACCATCTAGCAAGTGCATTCCATCCTTTCTCATTAACCATGTCGAATCTTGTCGATCTAAATAAACTTAAAATAAAAACTAAAAGAAATAATTATTGACCTAAATCACCAATTCAAATCAATAGAGTAAGACCTTACCACATTTATTCCACCCATTCATAGAAGTTAATTGCTCTAGGCCAAAACCTTGAAGTCAAGAGTTTTACATGCTGATGCATGTTTAAGCACCACCACGGGAAAATGGAGCAAACTAATTGGAGAAGGGATATGAAAAGCATGAATATCTGATACCTGCTGCCAATGAGTTGGAGGATCCTCAGGAGCAGTGGACAGCACAAGTGCTTCGTTAGGGAATGCACGCTTTTTCCTCTGACTACTATCAATAGGATGATTGTTGGAAGACTCAATAGGGGAGGATACTGCATCGTGACTAGCAGGGGAAATTGCAGGGCCACTGAATTCAACATCGAACCAAAAAGCAAACCCATGAAATGGAGCTGTAAAATCAAAGAAAAATTAGAAAATTAACTTTTATCAAAGAAAGCATAAATATGGGAGTAGCAAAGTGTAAAATTATGGAAAGAATTGTGAATAACAATAGACGAAGTCCGACATAAGAGAAAAAGATAAGAAGTAAAATTCAAATAAAAAAATAAGAAAGAAAAGAAATTGCAATGAGCAACGGAAACGCCGTCTTTAGAGAACATAAACATTTTGACTCTTTTAGTTCAAAAGAAAGAATAAAATGAAATGCACTTGGCTTCAAAACATAGCAAAAACATCTCATCAACTTGTTCTGGGAAGAGGGTTCCACATCCCTGCCCCCTCACACACACACATCACATCAATTCACACATGCACATCGCATCACATATACAGACACAGAGAGGAAGAGAGATTTTACCTCGCATCATTGATTGAAATTTATAATTTGTTGTAATAGATTCTAGCTCACGAATTGTAATTGTATAGCAGTCAACATGCTTTACCTGTCATCACATTAACAATCAATTTACAAAAATTAGGATGTTGGCACAAAAACTACATGTGAGCAAGTCTACTCTTCACATGCTTTCTAAAAAATAAGTGATGGACAACCTCTAGGAAACATGGCTCAAATAGAACATCTTAATACATAGCCTAACGATTTCAAAACCATCTGCTGGTACTAACAGCCCAAACTCCAGCGCACACAAGTCATATGCATTATGACATGAGGCTCATCTTACAAAAACAAGGTACATGTCAAACCAAAACTGAAAATTTGAGAAATCTCAAGACAATTTAAGAATCATAGGTCACTACAGGCGCACCTTATGCGCCTCATGCTAGCCCAGGCGCAGCGACCTTCACTAGGCACGCGCCTGGGCTGCGCCTTGGATATTTTAAGAGGCGCGCTTCATATATTCTGTGCTCCTTTTATAATTTGTTTGTGTGTTTCCTTAAATTCCTTTGATGTATTACGTGTACTTTGTGTTTGCTTTTTTACTTTATATTATTATATATATATATAGTTACAGCTTTTGGAAACTGAAAGTACAAAATGGAAACTTAAAGTACAAAATGAAAATTTGTCTTCTTGTGACTTGGCAACCCAATGTCTCCCAATAGTCAACAAAACAAATCAGTCAAAAGCTGCAGCAGAAATACAGACGTGAGGGAGTGGGAAAGAGAAGAGAAGAGAGAGAAGAGAGAAATAAAGAGAGAGAGAGAAGAGAAGAGAAGAGGAGAGGGCTACCAATTGCCTCCATCCGGCCAGGAATCACCGAATCAACTTAACAGGTCAGTTTTGTTTTTTTTGTTTTTTCCTTCTCCAGTTCTCTCCTCTTCTCCTCTTCTCTCTCTCTCTTCATTTGCTCTAATCTCTATATCTCAGCCTTTTTTTTTTTTTTTTTTTGAGTCTCTTTTTTTCTTCTTCTTCTCTATTTCTCTGATTTTCTTCTTTCTTTTTCTGGGTCTCTAGTAGACTGGTATATTTTTTTTTTTCTGAGTCTCTTTTATTTTTTTTCTTCCATCTTTTTCTCCGTCTCTGTTTTTTTTTTTTTTTTCTTCTTTCTTTTTCTCCGTCTCTGTTTCTATTCTGGGTCTCTTTTTTTCCTTCCTCCTCTTTATATATCTGGTTTTGTGTTTTTCTAGCTCTTTCTTTTTCTGGGTCTCTTTTATTTTATTTTCTTCTATCTTTTTCTCCATCTCTGTTTTTGTTCTTGTGGGTCTCTATGTGTTTTTTTCTTCTTTCTCTTTCTTCATCTACTCCTCTCCCGTGTCTTGCTATATATATATATATATATATATATATATATTTTTTTTTTTTTTTTCTCCCTCGCCTGTATTTTTTTTCTCGTTGTATTTTTTCCCATCATTTTCAACTTCTTGGTGTATAGCTATAATATCTGTACGCTCTTCATCATCAAAGTCTTCAGCAAACATAGTTTGCGGTGCTATATTACCGTAGGAGAATCAGTACACCACCTCACCCTTTAATAAAGAAATACCGAACAGAATAAGACTTTTTAAAATTATTATTTTTTTGTTGTCTGTCGCATCTTAATTGTTGTAAAATTTCAAATTCTGTTTTTGTTCTCTCTAGCCTTCATTTTTTTTCCCTTCATATACTCCACCGTATTTTCTTTCTTTTTTTCTTTTTTTTTTTTCAATCTCTGACTTTTTCTTCCAATAATCTCTCTCATTTTTTTCTCCCTTCTTCTTTGAAGGCTGTCTGTCTCTTCTTTTTTTTTTTTTTTTTTGTTGTGTTCTGCTGAATTTTGCTACATGGATTATTTAAAGTTTGAATGCATCTTTCTGAATGGTGTTTGCTGAAAGTGTGAATGTTGTTTGCTGAATTTAACTTGGTCCATCACTCCATTGACTCCATTCTATTTCTCATTGTAAATACTAAATAGATAGGAAAAAATGTCAAAGGATCCAGCTTGGAATTATTGTCACCTGCAAAACCCACAAGATAGGAATGCAACATGTAATTTTTGTGAAAAAGTTAAGAAAGGGGGTATTTACAAGGCTAAGCAACACATTATAGGAGGACATAGAAATGTACAAGCATGTAAAAAGTGCCCTGAACATGTGAAAGAGGAGATTCGAGAATACATGAGCAAGAAGAAAGAAGAAAAGGAATACACAAATTTGTTGCCTGATTTTGATGACATCGATGATCAAGATGAGGATGATGTTGCAATTATTGATATTAAGGGTAAAAGAGTGGCAAGTGGAATTGAAAGCAATAATATTCAATCAAAAAAGCAGAAGCAGAAAGGTCCTATTGATTTGTACTTCACCCCTCCTCCGGAAGTGGCTGTGCAAAATAGAAAAAATGACAAAGGTAAGCAAACAACAATTGACAGTGCTTGCAAGAAAGAACTTAGAAACCAAGCATGCCAACGGTTTGCAAGATGGATGTATGATGCCGGGATATCATTCAATGCCCTTAATTATGATAGTTTTGCACCAGTTGTTGAAGGAAGCTATTGGCCAACATGGTCCAAGAATGAAACCTCCGTCTGATCATGAGGTGAGAGTTCCCCTCCTCAAGAAAGAACTGAAGCATACAGACAATTTAATGCGGGATCATAAAGAGGAATAGGCAAAATACGGATGCACAATTATGGCAGATGGATGGAAGGATAAAAGACAGAGGTGTTTGATTAATTTTCTGGTGAATTGTCCTAAAGGGACAATGTTCATTCAATCTGTCGATGCTTCCTCTTATTCAAAGACCAGTGAAAAAATGTTCAACTTGCTTAACAAGTTCGTGCAGCGAATTGGAGCAACAAATGTGGTTCAAGTAGTCACTGATAGTGCATCTTCTAATGTTGTGGCAGGTATAGATGTCAATATGTACTTGATGTGAAAATTTTAGGTTTCTTGCTTCTAGCCTTCTATTAATCCAAATTTTCTTTCTTTACAATAGGGAGAATGTTGGAGGGAAGGCACCGACATTTGTATTGGTCACCTTGTGCTGCACATTGTGTGGACCTAATGTTGGAGGACATTGCTAAGATCCCAAATATAATGATGACCATAAAGAGAGCTATAATGTTAAATGATTATATTTATAACCGTTCGGGTTTGTTAAACATGATGAGGCGTTATACTGGACATAAAGAGTTGCTTAGACCTACGACGACTTGATTTGCCACTTCATTTATCACGTTATCAAGCATCCATCGTCATATGGATTGCTTGAGGAAGATGTTCACTTCACAAGAATGGACCTCCAGTAAATGGGCGAAAGAGATACAAGGGAAAAATGTAGCACATATTGTGTTGATGCTTTCATTTTGGACAAGCATTGTGTACTCTCTCAAAGTAGCAAGCCCTCTTGTTCGTGTACTTAAGTCGGTTGATGGTGAGAGAAGGCCTCCAATGGGATATATTTATGAGGCTATGGAAAGGGCTAAAGAAGCGATAGCTAAAGCTTTTGGTGGGAATGAAGAGAAGTATAAGGACATCTTTGAGATCATTGATAGAAAGTGGAATATCCAACTCCATCGCCTTTTGCATGCAACTGGGCATTTCTTAAACCCAGAATATTTTTATAGCAATCCAAATATTGAGCAAGATGAAGAGGTAATGGGTGGTTTATATCAATGCATAGAAAGATTGGTTCCAACCACTGAAGTGCAAGATAAAATTTCTTTGGAATTGAGTAGATATATGAAAGCTGATGGTCTATTTGGCTCATCAATTGCTGTTAGACAAAGAAAGTCAAGGGCACCAGGTAAACAACTCAATTAATCATTTTTTAGTATATATGAATTTGAATTCTGTTAATTTTTTACTAAAAATATGTAAATAACAGCCGATTGGTGGTCCGCATATGGTTCTACAACTCCTAATTTGCAAAAGTTTGCTATTAAAGTGCTTAGCCTCACATGTAGCGCATCTGGGTGTGAACGAAATTGGAGTGTATTTGAACATGTAAGTTTGTAGTATTAGTAATTCAATGATAAAAAATTATATTATAAATAGTTATAAACTTATACTAATTAATTATTTGAATTAATGCAGCTTCATAGCAAGAAGAGGAACCAGCTAACTCAATGTCGATTGAATGATTTGGTTTTCATCAAGTATAATAGAGTACTAAAACGACGATATGATATGCGTGATAGGATCGATCCCATCCTTATAAATGATATAGATGATAGCAATGAGTGGTTGGTTGGAATAATGGATGAAGATGTAGATGCCGAAAATGAGTTGGTGTTTGAAGATGACTCTTTGACATGGGGTACAGTTGCTAGAGCTACCGGGGCTGGAGAGTCCAGCCATAATTTAAGATCAAGATCAGCTCCAAGGGCAACAAAGAGGACAACACCTTCATGCTCGTCTTCACTACGAATCATAGATGTTGACGAGGCAAACTCTGAGGACACAAAAGAGGAAGAAGATGCTGAGGGTTTCAAATCTTTTGATGGGGACGATGATGAGACTATGTTGTTTGGTGAAGAGGATGATATTTAGGTCCCTTAAGATTGTTTGGTAATTTTGATTTTAGGAGTCCTTGTCAAAACTCAAAACTGAAACTGATATTTTGTTACTTGGTTTATAGATTTGGTAGGCTACTAAGTATTGACTATGATACTTTATAAATTTGGTAGGCTTCTAAGTATCTTTTGATGGATCTGTTTTGGAGTCAAATGACAGCTTTTGCTTAAGACATCAAGTATAAATTTATAATATATGGTTAATTGGTTTATGTTTTGCTTTTTTTGAATCTTTCTTATGAATAAATAGCTTTATTAGTTTAACTGTTCTATTTTTCTAGTTGCTTTATTGGTTTAATTGTGATATATTTAGACTAATTTAGTGTTTTTATTATTGGATGTTCATTGTTTAATTGTGTTATTTTTGCTAAGAATTATTGTTTTAAAATTTTACTTGTGCACCTCACATCACTCAGGCTCGCGCCTACGCTCCAAGGGACCTTTAGCGCCTCGGTGCGCCTTGGGCTTTATGTTTAAAACCTTATAAT